ATATATATATATATATATATATATATATATATATATATATATATATATATACACACACACACACACACATATAAATAAATTATTTGACCTTGTATATATTGTACATTTATTGGCGCTCCCTCAACTCCACCCCTTCCCTCAGTCTTGTATATCATCTCTACATTCATTGTCTTGAACTCAGACGTCTTCTTTTATTCCAACGTTTTAGTAACAAATCTCTGGAAGCTTAGCAAATGAACAGAGTGGAGGCAATTCACTCGTAATTTGTCCGTATCGGCACTTAGAATGACGTTTTAAGATTCTGTTAGTATATCAGTAATCCTAGTAATTATACTTTAGATTAGTAGAAGTTACTAAAAAAATGAGGAAGCATTTTTCCCTCTTATTATGTATGTTCTCCTATTTGAATACATCTGCAAAAACTATTTAATCCCCATAACTTGAGGACATGAAACTAAAGAAGTATTGAAAAACACGTCCGAGAGAACATTTTGCTTTCACAGACATAAACTGCATAACTGGTGTCAATAATGTATTTCTAACTGTGGAATAGGGCAATAATTTCTTGTTAACTTGACTAAGTAACAACAATGTATGTATTAGAGGTCGTCCTTTATATAATAGTTCTAGACTACGTACAGTATGGGAAGTATTCAAACCTCTATACTACTAACATAATTTAATCTATAAGATTTTTCTGATTTAAGTACGGCAAATCTAGATATGTATGCTTATAAATACAATTTTCTTTATATTCCAACGCTAATTTAACACATAACTACAACAGATTAGGAATATCCATACTGGCTAACACCATGGTTATAAATTTTTTTGTATTTGATCCTCAAATATATTTTGTAAGAATATCAAGTAACTAGTCACTAAAATTAAGCAAAACTAGTCAAAACACATATTTTTATTGATAACCGTTCCTGAAGGCTAATGATGCACAGTTCAAAACTCGGTGGATAGTGGGCTTACCCCTCTACCCTAGTCACAATACATTTGGATTCCATCTTTTATCTTATAAAAAGACAAATCCTTTTAGTATATTGATTCTTGGTAACATGAGTTTTTAAGCTACATGCAGCATCACTTGATTTTCAAATCAGTTGCATTTTTCAATTTCTTCAACATATCAACTCTAATCGAACTAGCTTTAACCATATAAGCCACATATGACTAAATTACATGGTTCGATACTGTCTTCTGCGTTTAATCTGGTCACCACATCTTATTATTCTAGTGTTTCAAAATATTATATTACCCGTTAAAATGCAATGCTTTGAGGCAGACGGTCTGGTGGAAGGAGATCATATCCAGTTTCAATGAAATAATCCATAACCTGTGTGGGATGCAACTGAAACGTCTGATCATATCACTGTTAGATAATTGAACAACATATTAAACATCGATATTGACCTTGAACCTTTTAGAGTCTCCTTTTTAAAATCAGCCTTAACATTTAGTTTCGAATTAACTATCAAAATATACATCCTATTTATTAGTGATGATTTTTAGCATCTTTTAGCGTCTAGTAATACTCCCTAGAAGCTATATCTATTAAACTAGTTAAGGTCAATGTATTAATCCGCCTACTCAATTCTAGTTGGGCTCCTTCCATTTGACTAATTAATTTGTTTTTTCAGGACAAATTAGGAGTTTTGGGTTTCTCTAAATGTTACACCTAGCCTACACTGTCATTTAACCTCTAACCAAATTTATCACACAGTTAAGATTAATGTATCAGTCCTCCTTCGCAATTCTATTTGGGCCACTTCCATTTGACTAAATAATTTAATTTTCAGGACAAATTTGGAGTTCTCCAAAACTTAGGTTTCTCTAAATGTTACACCTAGGCTACACTGTCATATAACCTCTAACCAAATATATCAAACACTGCACGTAATGTAAGTGTCCATATGACTAAACCTTAATTCGTGTAACAAGTTGGTATCACTTACACAAGTGCTTTGCTTCCATTAGGGTAGAAGGTAGGAGGTAGTAGAGCATTGGTTGGTTTCCCTTACCAGTATTTTTATTATTACTCCCATATTTTCTTATTCTTCAATTTTATTATCAGATGTTGTTTCCTTTGTTTCGGTCATCGTATTTTTTGTTGTTGCTACTGTTCTCTTCTCCGTTATGCTAGCATGACTACTTTACAACTGTATTTCCTGATACTTGATTTTATTTTGTGTCTTTCGAGCCAATGTTCTATTGTAAACCACCTCTCTACTTTCACAAAGGTAGGGGTAAGGCTGTGAATATACCACCCTCCCCATACCCCATTTGTGGATACTGGTATTACATTGGCATATGTTTTTGTAATTGTTGGTAGATGTACATGGCACGAATTGTTTCAGGAATCAAGCTTTAGATTATGGTGAAAGCATATTATTCCTGTTATTGTTCATTTTTCCTAGATGCATTCAAGGTGTGGTCTGGATGTCAATGAAGTTTAAAGCACCATTGAACACTGAAGAGTGCACTACAATTATCATCTCATATTTAGAATCCTTTTCGAACCAAGTCATTGAAGAAATGCACTGTACATTTTTGCATAAAAATCGAAATTTTTCCTCATTTACATGCAATGCACATGCTTACCAACTTGCAACCTTTAAGAGGCTTTTAATCATTGAAAAGAATTTACCAAGTTAGGGAGTATTGATTAAGCTCTTTCTAAAATCCACTGTTTCTAGCCAACTTATTGAAGAAATACCTTGGAAGTGTTTTTGCATAAAAAATGACAATTTTTTCCTCATTTATTCCCATATGCATTCTTACAAAAATTACTTATCTTCTGCTTATTGACAATTGTGGTCACTCTGTAGGGATTTCCTGAGTCTATTTTTTCTATTGGACTATTGCCTACTTTTTCTTGAGCTGCTGGGTCATATTATTTTTGTTCTCTGGGCAGGCTATTTTGTCATATTGGAAGATGAAATTGATGGTGGTGGTAATTCTCCACATTGGCCCTGGCAGGACTTGATTTTTCTGTTGTGGCCGTTTTGAGTATTGCTCAATCTGAATGCTGAAGAATTCGCGGAGGTATACTGTTGTATTCTATTTTTTTTAAAAATTTTATGATCAACCCGCATTTTGCATTATCTTTTTGTAAATATAGCTCTTCCACGCTCTGGGTATTGATCCTAGTGTTCAAGATGGCTTTCTGTGTTCATCATTTATTTACGTAGTTACTCAAATTTAGCCACTGAACAATTTTCTATGTGGTGTTTCTCTTCTTTCTTGATAAAGCATATCTCAAATATCACTACAAACTGTACAAGTAGTGTTCAGTATATAAAGCACATATTCTTTGTGCATTTAATCTTATCTCTGAGTATAGTTTTACTCTGTAAATAGTACTCTTTTTCAGCTGCAAAGGCATTTATCACATCCTTATCGCAGAAGGTTGTATATAGTACTTTGTAATTGTGCTCTGTTAGATAAGGCTATAATCATATCATCATTGCTGCCAGCCATTTATAGATTGTTAGCTTTGACATGCAATAAAAACTATAATCAACACAGTATAGTAACAATGAATGTCTCAAGCATACGTAATGGCACCCTAAACTTGTGATTCCGTGGACTGACATCACCCACAGGGAAATAGAACCAATTTGTGATATATAAAATAACCTGGCTTTTAGATGCCCGTTATCTATGAAGATGGAGGATACATACATGAAAACCAATCTGGATCATTATCAGGGCCATCTTTTTCTGTAGCTCAAAACCAAATCTCTTGCACCAACTTTATTTCCTATGTACGTCAAAAGTGGTGTAGTTGAACTCAAAATCATTAACTCGTAAGATTACAGAGAAAACTATCTCAGCACCCAGTCGCATGCTCAAAGATTTTCAGGATGTACAGAATGTTCCCTGCACGAGCAATGACTGAATAGGCAATTTGACAGCATACATATAAAACCTCGGGTCCAACTTATGTGCAATTAGTTCCTTAATGAAACTTTTTCATTTGAGCTGCCGATAGCATGGTGCAAAAAGATTATCCACTAACTCTGATGAGAACGAGTTTCGTGTCAGATGTTTCATCTTATTCTGCTGTAAACACAGCAGGACACAAGTTTGCATATCTTTAATGTCTGATAGTCTATTTGCGATCTTTTGTCAACCATTCATGGTCATAGAGTCTGTGCCCATAGCTAATAATGCTGAAAAGAAGAAGTTGCAGCTAGGGATCCTTATTAGTCATCAGGCTTTATTTTTTTACCAAAAATATCATGTTTTCGCAAGTTTACTTGCTTTGGTGATATATCCAGGTGCCCTGGAATCTCATGCAAGTTTGCACATGACGTTGGTGAATTCATTTTATAAAATTGTGGTTGGAGGCTAATAGTTCCGGCAGATTGAGCCCTTGATTAAGACATAATTAATCTTTCAATATGAAATTTGTGTGTATTGGAAGCTTGTCTGATAAGAAAAAGTTCCCTTTTCTAATATTCTCTCTTTCTTGTGTGCTTGGGAATAAATTCCTACTGTTGTTATTGCATTATCAGTATCTATAAAAGTTCTTCCCTCCAGTAATGCTTACATTTAATAAAGGTGATTGGTACGATTCATTCAAACAACATTGGAATTTTAGTCGTACAATAGCAAAATGCAATGCATTAGTAGACCTGAAGATATCTAGAATAACATCATTGTCTACTTAATGTGAAAGATTATGAAGTTTAATCACACATACATTGATATTTCCTTTTCGCATCGAAAGGAAGACCTGTCTGTAGATTGTGATTACAATGTGTGACTTTGGGGAATACTGGAAATGAGAAAAGATTAGCTACCATTCTTTTTCTGTTTTTTTTTTTGGAGAAAAAGTGGAGAATTAGAATCAGTGAATTTGTTCTGTAGTGTACAGAGCTATCATTCTTGAGAAAAGGTTGCAACATATTTAAGGTGTGACAACTCTTGGTGGAAGAGGACATGAACAATCGCTAAATAAAATTCTTTTGCTGTTCTAAAAGTCGACTTCGACGTACTAAACTTGGCATATATTACATGCTTAAAAGTTAATTTGGTGGGAAAATGTTGTAGAAGGAGAATAAAAACTTGGTGCAGATGAATTGGAAAAGCCGTACTTGTGAATCAGATCTAATTTTAGATTCTAACACTCTGTCAATTTTGGTTCATTACGATCTGATGGCATCAGCTCCATATGCATATTGCTGTAACTGTGGATCCCCACCTCCCATCTGGGATATTGAGAAAAAATCACTTCCATATTATATTTTATTTTTAACCAGAACAGCGGTGGAAATACATTTTTTAAACAAGTCATGTTATTTTAGTTACATTTTTTTGGTGGCTGTTTAAGTACTGAAGAGTGTATATTTTCTTTGAACTTTGGCTAGCCGTTCACTCACTCTCGATGTAGCAGAGCAAATAATGTGCTTCAACGTAGACATGTTGATGGATAAGATCTAAATACTTTATTCAATTTATATTTACTGATGATAATATAAATGCTTGCATTATGAGTATTACGAGCAAGGCTTTAAGCTGTTATATAACTCTCCTGCTTGTATCTGTCTTTGTGACGGGTAATGAAAGCAGGAGTTTAGCATGTAAGGGAAAAAACAGTGACCTGACACAGTGATAATTTTTTTTTATTGTTTTGATTGAAAAATTAGTGTTGGATTCAAGTGGGGTGAGGAAGAAAGCTGCAGGTAACTCTGGGTGCTGGTTAAAGTTGTTCTGTTTCTGTTTCTGTTTGTGTTGCTTTGCAGAAATTCAGAGAAAACGCACAAACAAGGCATTAAGGCCCCCCACTTGGAGACACATTGATCCCTGTTGTGAAAATTGGATACAATAAAATTTTAAATGGCTGTAAATGCAGCACGTACTTTTTATTATTTTTATTTTTTCACAAGATTTTGTTTCAGTGTCCCCTTTTTTTCCATCTGCCTCTTCTTCCTATGGCCATCTACTGCATACTGTTCTCTTCTGTCACACACCAATTAACCCTTCAGTGGTCCCTTCTTCTTTCTTTTTTTCCCCTTCCCTTTCCAATTTTTTGCAATTTTGCATGATATGCTGTTTTCTTATATACGACCACCTTCCCACTCACCCAACAATTCCACAATTTTTATATTTTTATTTTCTGTTTCTACCTCCCACAAACTGTGAGTATTCATTTCAGGATAACTTATTTAACTCCCAAGATCAAATATTATGTAAGAGAAAAGATCCCCTCGATTTGACACTTTAAAAAAAAGTAAAAAATTAACCCCACCATTTTTGTTCCTATCCGAATTCCTTAAAAGAGAGGTTATTCCAATGGTAAGTACTTTCTTGACTCCTATCTCAAGGTAAAAAAAAGAATTTAAACAAGTTTGTTGACACGGACATTCTCATTCTCAAGATGGTTTATATATCTTTCAAAATGCTGGCAAAATTTAACCATTTCCTTAGGTTTAAACATGTACAATCTCATCTTTGATCGAGACAATTCGATGGATCTAATCCACTTGATAATTTCTATAGAAGTTGTATCCTTTGAAGAAGAAAATAGGTTTGTTGTTGGCCACTCACATTACCAAAATTGAATGAAATAAAGTTCCCTTTTTAGGAGTAGTTATAAAAAGAAAAAAAATACCCATACCAAATGGCCCACAAACAAAACCGACCATAACATTAGTGATTACATATCTAATATTAAAATTAAAAATCATATGATAAATGTCATATAAGGAATCGTTCAGTTTTATTTATTTTTTTCTCTCTTCCCACTACTTGAAGAAAATGAAAATTCCGGCCACAACTTTTCCAGCTGCTTCTTCAAAAACAACACAACGTGTTGTCTTCACAAACGCATTATTATTATTATTATTATTTTTACAGTGGTGTTTGATATTATATTATAATGTGATATTATTATTATAAATAATGAAGTGGAAAAAATAGTACATAAATTATATGTAAAGGCCAAAAAAAAGATGGGACCTTGAAAACAGAATTTTAGAAAAAACAGATGTGCACTCACAAAAAAGTTGCAAGTAGCCAAAGACTTAAACGGTGTTTGAGGGGTTACAGACAACATAAGTCATGCTCGATACTCTGGTGCATCACATGGGCTGCGAGGGGAATGTAACATGCATGCAATTCTTTTGCCTTGCAACATGCCAACATTTCCTTAGCCACACTTCCCGATCTCGATCCATGATTTTAAGTTTATGAGTTCTTATAGCGACGTCAAGCTGAACTCACAATCAGATGAATTTGTTGGTACGAATACAATGAGTTCGTTCACGTGATCTAGACCCCCATGGCTCAAAGAAGAAAAGGGAAAACACTCCTTACCTTTGTTTGTGTATGAACATTTGTAGGCATCAAGAATAAGAAACTTATATGTGTATTGTCATATCAAAACAACTAGCTAAAAATTTGAACAAATATTTGTATTATATGGAAAATAAAATAGATAATCTTTTTATTCCCTTTTTGATGGGTGAGAACGAAAAAAGTTCTTTTTGTGTGTGTGTGTGGGGAGGGGGTAGGAAATTCTTTTAAAGGGTTGCGGTTGGATAGGTGGTTAATTAATTGATTGAAACCTAACAAAAGGGATGTAATAAAAACTTATCCAAGACTTGATAAATTATAATAATGTGTTGAATTAACTATAGGGTATTATCCTTCAACATTTTAATATATTAATTGCCAATAGGGCATCGACACTTTGAACAAAACTTATAAATTAAACCATGCAGGTTTCATTAAGTGCAACCGTTTGGACGGTAAAACACTAATATGCTCCCATTAAAAAATTTATTCTATAATGCATCTTTTATTCATGGACCAACATCACCCTCTTTCTTAGGAATATTTATTATTATTATTATTATTATTACTATTTACTTTCTACTATTGCTTATATTACTAAGACAAGATGGAAAAAGCTCCAATTCATAGCCTTTTGAAATGGACAAGGCCCTACCTTTTCATTAGGTAGAATCCACACGTCCATTCCAACTCATTTAAGTAAGAAAAAGAATCAAAGATAGAATTTTATTTTTATTGTAAGAAAAGAAAGTAGAATGACAAGATAGATAGACCCGGCTCCCACTGAACGCCAAAATCAGAATTTAAAGTTTATAATACCCTTGTGAATTTATCACGAAATTCATTATTACAAATTTCA